TTGAGACAAACGGCCTAGAGAGAGCATGTCAGCCGAGAGAGAAAAGGGAGAATGTGCGCCACTTTCTTTTTTCTGCCGAAATTCTTTTGGAAAGCGCCTAATGCCAGATTACCAGGCTGCAAACCAGGGGGCAAGTGTGTGTAGCACCTTCGACCCCGAAAGGAAGGTCACCACACCAAACCGGGCGCTAGGAGAGGTGAACTGAAGGCTGAGACAAAACGGAGGCTGAGCCTGAGTGGGGGCGCCCGCGCGCGCCCACGCAAGCAAGCCTCTGTCCTTCGCGCTTCGGCCCATTCACTGCATGGACTTTGGGGGCGGGGTTGGTTGGGGAGAACCGGCACGGGGAAAGCCGGCCCAGTAGGGCGCCGCGCCCCAGCGTAGAGGGCGTCGTGTAGCCCACCTTTTGGTCTAAAGGTGTCGGCGTAACACAGGGGATCCCGGTGCACGGGATCGAGAGGGCAAGGCCTGAGTCTCACGTGCATGGTGCCCCACGTGCCCATGGTGGCGGTGCTCGTTGCGTGGATCAGCGTCGGCAACACGCCGCTGCTCGATCTGAGCGCGCTGGCTCCCGACTTGCCGAAGGGCGTGCGCGTGCTGGGCAAGGCTGAATTTTCCAACCCGAGCGGCTCCGTCAAGGACCGGATTGTCGAGTACATCTTGGATGAGCAGGAGCGAATCGGCCGGCTCACGCGCTTCTCGGGGCAGACCATCGTCGCCTCCTCGTCGGGCAACACGGCACCTCGCTCGCCATGTTTTCTGCCCTGCGAGGCTACAGGTGCATCGCCATCACCAACCGCGGGACGAGCAAGGAGAAGGTGCAGCAGCTGTACGCGTACGGCGCGGAGGTTGTCGTCACGGCCTCCGGCGTGCCCACCGACTCGCCGGTGCACTGTCAGAACGTGGAGAAGCAGCTGGTGGAGGAGAACCCAGGCTACTTTGGCCTCAACCAGTATGACAGCCCGCTCAACCCAGAAGCGTACTATGCGACGCTCGGGCCGGAGCTGTGGGCGCAGACCAACGGCAAGATCACGCACCTGGTGGCTGCCGGCTCCACCGGAGGCACGGTGAGCGGCACCGCGCGCTTCCTCAAGAAGAAGAACCAGGCGATTCAGGTAATCATGCCTGACCCGCATGGCTCCATATTTTATGATTGGTGGGCGCATCGGAAGCTGGTGAAGCCGACGTCGTTCGAGGGGCTCGATCTCTCGCTCATCGACGTCATGCCGCGCTTTAGCGACGAGCAGGCCTTCGCCACGTGTCGCACCATCGCCCGCCGTATGGGCATGATGGTCGGTGGCAGCGCGGGCGGCAACGTGCACGCCGCCCTCACCTTGGCCCGCAAGCTCAAGGGCCCGGCGACGGTGGTGGCCATTCTTTGCGACTCGGGCACCAAGTACCTCTCCAAGATTTTCAACGATGAGTGGATGGCCTCCAAGGGCTACAACGTCGCGGCGATGGACGCGTCCGCCGCCAACCGCTCGGCTCGATAGCGGCAACCGAAGCCATTTTCGCAGATGGTTAGACGTATCGGTTTGCTCAGAACTCTGTCCGAAGAGGCCACCGGCTCACTTACAAACTCAGTGTCCGAAACTCTGAGCTCACTCGCCCCCCCGGCCCGCTCCTATACGGTACAGCGCTGTGAGAAGCGTGAGCTTTGAATGCATATGCCATATCGATCTCCCTTAAAAATATGTATGTAAGTAACTAGTGAGAGGACTCGAGATGTGTTCGAGATTGGGGCGGTCGTGCTTTTCGGCGGTCGTGGAGGTCGTGGAGGTCGTTGAGTGGCGAGTCACGCTCGTGCGGACAGCATCGATGCCGTCACCGGACGCGGCGGCGAGGCACACGGGCGCCGGCGTGGCGCGTCGGCAGGCCCACCACGAGCGGATGCGCGACGAGCGCGCTCGGGAAGCGGCCGCGGGCGACGCGGAGCTTCCGCCGGAGGACGACGCGGTCGAGATGGCGAGCGCCGCCCAGCTGCTGGACAGCGTGGCGGAGGTGGGCCCGAACTACACCCTGCTGCGCAGCAAGGAGACGAAGGCGAAGCGGCGGAAGCGACAGCGCGAGGATGCCAGGGCGGTAAAATGCATCGATCTCCCTGGGGCGACGCACGAAATCGCCATGCTACGAGACTTTTAATTCTTTTTTGGCAAGGTAGTTTGCACACACAATTGAGAGAGAGATTTTCAATACCAAACAACTCTAACACTCACACGTCATTTGGGGCCCTGTTCACGCGCGCGCGAGACGTGCAGACAGGGTTGCCAGGTGAGAGCGAATGGCGCGGTTCACGCCTCGCACAACAGAGAGAGAGATGCGCTCTGCATGGTGGGACATAAAAGAAAGCGAGTGTTGTGTTTGTTGTTCACAATTGTGTTTTTTTTTCATCGCGCCCTATGACGACAAAAAACAACAAACGGTATTGCTAAAAAGTCTCTCTCTCTCAAAAAACAAAAACAGGTGTGAGTGTTAGAGTTGTTTGGTATTGCTAAAAATCTCTCTCTCTCATGACGACCACGATGGACGACCACGAGACGAGCTTTCTCGGAGCGACAGCCTCAAAGTAAAAAGGGCGGATGGGTGCAGGGGGGCGATCGCCGGCGAGCACCAGCGCGTCCCAAGAACGGTGGGGTGCCCTCGACCGCGCGTCCAAGTCACTTGGGCGGGCGAGCGAGCGGCACATGGCCTGACACAGAGAAAGAAATCGAAGTCCGGCGGAAAGAAATCGAATTCGACGAAAAAATTACGACGAAAAAGAAAATTTTGCTCTCTGACATCACACGCAACCAAGGCCGCTCAGTTTTTGGGGGCTCAGCATCGAGGCATGCTCTCGCTACGCCGCTCCGCCCGGCCCGGCTCTGACGCCTCCTGTCTGCTTGTGTAGGCGACGACGCCAGGTTTGCCGGCGCATGCACCTCCATCTTAGAGTCTGACACGCACCGAACGACAGACCCACAGCCCGCAGCGCGCGCGGCACACAGCTGCTCCCAAGACCCTCGACCCCAGCCCACGGGCGACTGAATCTCGACGGCAGCGGCTGGCGCGCGCGCGCCCTTGACGCTCTCCGTGCCGGACAACATCTGCTACATCGCGGACCAACGCTCTTTGTTCGCTGCGTGCGGCGGTCGCGCGTCGGGTCTCCGCGCTCACCTCCGACTTCTCCACCGCCGACTCCGTCACCGCTTTGCCGTCCGCCTCCTTCCTGCCCCGACCTCGGCGCCTTGACGCTCAACGTCGCCGACCCACTCCCCTCTTCCGGCCACCACCCTCTCCCGCAGCACGGTCTTTGTCTCCCGCAGCACGTCCCTCTCCGCTCCATTGGCTCCATTCTGCCCCGCCGCCCCGCCGCCCCGCCGCCCCGCCGCCTCCGCCCGCGTCGCCTCTCTCTCCACCGCCGCCGCCCTCGCCGCCGCCACCCTCGCCGCCGCTCTCCCCACCGCCGCCCTCTGCCCTCGCAGCCGCCGGGCCCTCATACCCGCTGCCACCCTCGCCGCCGCCGCCCTCCCACCCGCCGCCGCTGCCGCCCTCCCCGCCGCCGCCCTCGCCGCCGCCGTCCTCCCCGCCGCGGCCCTCGGCGCGGCTGGCCTCGTCGGTGGCTCTTGCGCCGCGGCCGGTGGCG